GAACTTTAATTAAATTCATTATGAACATTACTTTTTTATTTATTATCCTTAAACATTATCCTCTCGTATATAACACTTATATACAATGTTTAAGGTTACATAAATAATCATGGAATTTTCATTGATATTCATAAAATATTCATAAATATATGCACATAAAATAATGAATAAACTCTTTTATTAAATAAATAATAAATATCCTATTACATCTCATGCTTCTAGGACACAATTCTCAACAGTCATGAACCGCATAATCTTTACTACCCTATCGGTGGTGGATTGATGCATTTGGTTGTGATGTTTGATGAATTGTCCTTACCTGCGAAAGAGTTATATTCTTGCTCAACAGACTCTAGCACACAATGATCATATTGGCTTAGATCATTGGGAAGGCTAAGTAAAGGGCAAATTGCATGATCTTGTTTTACATGCATATTGTTCGTTGCCCCTGTTGTTTGCTTTAGCCTTGAGCAATCCTTGTATCTCTGCTATTTTGATGTTAAATGGGACAAGTCATTATATATGGTATGATCTCTTTATAAATCTATTAATTATGAAATGGACATAGCCTTGAGAATTTATGTGTTTCCTAGCTCCACTAATGTGTTGAGAAACTCTATGATGAGTGGGAGTGTATGGATAACACCGAGGTAGTAGTGTCTCAATTTTAGGATGAGACAGTCACTAAAATTAGCTTTATGGAGAACGTTGTTGATAAATGCATATGTGTAATGTCAGTGGGAGCAGTTGCATATTTCTGTGTTCTATGTTGGTGACAACTTGCTCGCGCCTAATGATTCTGACCTGTTGGTTGAGACGAATAGCATGTCGCCTAGTCACTTTGGTTTGAGAATCTTGAAAAGGCCTCTTATGTTCTAGGCATGTAGATTCTCCGTGAAGAGGATAAGTGTAATTTTTAGTCGTCTTAGATAACCTATATTGTTCTTGTTTCGAACAGGTTCAGTATGTATTCTTGTTCTCCTAGTAAGCATTGTTTGTTAAAGTGACAAACTCTCAAAGGTGTAATGTCCTTATGGTGAAGTAAGAAAGATCAGATAAAGTTGTCCCTTATGCTTACGTGTTTAGTAGCATGATGTATGCACACGTCTTATTATTGTGTTTGTTGTTAACGTGCAAATTCAGTACTTAAGTGATTGTCGTTATTATTATTGAATTAGCTGGGAATGAAGTACCAGATAGTTGTGTATCGGTCATCCAACACTTTTGTTGTAGTTTGATCTCGTGATGCCGATTATGCAGGCTGCATAAATGATAAAAGGAAGAGCTACTCTGTTGAAAAGTGTCAAATAGACACTCGCAGCGTCCTTGATTGTGATGCGGAGTATGTCGCGTATCGTGAGGCTATTTGTGTGATGTAATTGTGGAACCTTGTTTCGGCATTAGGAGTAGTTCACTCTATTTCTGGACCGGCTGAAACTGTGTTGTGAAAGTTTCATAATAGTATATTTTTCTTAAAACACCATGAACATTGTCCGCTCAAGTATAATGATGGTGTGTTCTATTTTTGTAAAGAGAAATTGTAAAAGATCTCATTGTTATTGAAAACACGTCTATAAACAACATGTTGGCAGTTCCACTAAAGGCTTACCTATTAGGTGTTTTAAGAACGCGCCTATAAACAACATGTTGACAGTTCCACTAAAGGCTTACCTATTAGGTGTTTTAAGAACACACATCCCACTCAGGACTGTAAGGAGCCTGTAGTTGTATTGAGTTAGTAGGAGTTTACTGTCATTTGTGTGTGACATGTTGTTATTGATAAGGATTGCTTATGTCTCAAATAATACATGCATATTTATGGATCTGTCACTTTATGTGTGATGTTGTGTTGACACTTTTAGTTGGGAAAGTGACAAGTTGAAAAGAGACATCTGGTTGTTAGTCTTATCATTATTTTTTTATCCATATATTAAAGTTATCGTCATGCTTTGATGAATCTCTAACGCCTGATTATGTATAATGATTGTATTATGTTGATACGTTATTATGCATGATTATTTTGGACTTGTGTTTATTATGTGAGATTCTTAGTTGATGGTGATGAGTGAATGTTTGTTGTATGATTATGTCGTCTAAGTGGAAGACTGTTGGAATATTTTTATGTGGACTTCCATAATTATAATAATTCACTATGTAATTAATTAAAACGTCTTATGGACAACTGTATTAATGTAAATTAATGAATGCGTGTATGTATAATATCGGTTCATAATGAGATGAACAATTTAAATTCTAATGTGCTTGAGGCCCTTAGACTCACTCTCTCTAAATATTTGGTTAGCTCATTAGACCAAATTTCCTCTCTATCCACGTTTTTAGTTAAGGCTCATTTTTGCCATAGATTGCAATAAAATGCCAAGGGGACAAAATTTGGTGCCCCTGCCGTGTATGGGTGTGTGCCTGTGAGAGTGGAGAGGCAGAGAAGAAAAGAGTTCAAAAAATTAAAACATCTTATGGACAACTGTATTAATGTAAATTAATGAATGCGTGTATGTGTAATATCGGTTCATAATGGATGAACAATTTAAATTCTAATGTGCTTGAGGCCCTTAGACTCACTCTCTCTAAATATTTGGTTAGCTCATTAGACCAAATTTCCTCTCTATCCACGTTTTTAGTTAAGGCTCATTTTTGCCATAGATTGCAATAAAATGCCAAGGGGACAAAATTTGGTGCCCCTGCCGTGTATGGGTGTGTGCCTGTGGGAGTGGAGAGGCAGAGAAGAAAAGAGTTCAAAACTCTTCCATGCTCTCTTGATTTTCTCAGCCTCCTTGAACGGATTTCGGCCACCAAAACGACGTTATTCAGCTACCGAGTGGAGGAGGTAATCCTAAAACCATTAGATTTTCTATATGCTTCAAAATCCAATATGACAATGTATTTTTAAATTTGATTGTTGTTTGATCTCATTTATGAGTATTGAGAACCCATTAATTTCTAGCATATATACACAGTAACATATATATAAATTTAATTATCTGTTTTTTGTTATGTCTCTTTTATACCTCATTTATGAGTATTGAGAACCCATTAATTTCTAGCATATATACACAGAAACATATATATAAATTTAATTATCTGTTTTTTGTTATGTCTCTTTTATACATCATTGTCTTCAAATTTTTATGTTGTTTCATCGTTTTGATTTATCATCCTTTCAGACGTTTTTACGTCGTTCTATTTGTACGGTCCTTTTTTGCAATTTGCCCCTTCAATGTGTTTTATTTTTTTTTGTCATCAATGATTGCGTTGTTTTACTGATGGTTGTCATGTTTCAAATCATCGCAGTTCAATGCGGTTGTCTATTGCTGACATTGTTTTTTTAAAGAAATTTATGTCCCTCACCAGCTGTCCATTTTAAGAGTGATTCTCTTTTATACTCGTTGTCGTTTGTCAGGCTGTCGCTTTTACTTCTTCAATTCATTTTTACTGGTTGTTTTCATTTTTTAAGTGGATGTCGTTTTGAGGGTTTTGACGTTGTATAGTCTGAGACTCTAAGCAGATTTTTTGTTTTCTTCTCGTCATAATTTTTTTAGTCGTTTTTTATGCCAGTGTCGTTCTTTGTAAATTTTAAGATGTTGCTGTCGTTTTTCTCCTGTGGTACGTGTTTCTTAGTGAGGTGACCTGATTTCCAACAGCGTCCTCTTCTCTGACTCTCTAATGTTTTCCCACCGGTGATTGGCTGCTGTCTTCCCTTGAAATTTTAAGCCTTACAAGGTGGCGCCACCGCGCCGCAAATATTGTACGCCATCATCTGTCCACTTCCTAAGCATAAGCCATGGCAGAGTCAGGCCGATAACCACCGAATGCTCGCGTCTGCCATGTGTAAGTTTTTGCCACAAATACTTTCCCCTCCCAACTGCTAAGGCTTACTTGGGTTCCGAAACTATATAGTGTAAATAGTTGCAAGGTCGAATATATCCCCAATCCAAATAGAAAGAACAGAACCTACATAACAAGTTTTATGCATCCCCAATCCAAATGGGAAGAACAGTACCTAATGTAACAAATTATTTTATGCATTTGCTACGGTAACAATTTCAAATGGTGACATAATTCCTTAGCCCGAGATCACACAAGTGATTCACCCTTCGTTTGGCTGAAGAAAGTATATCATTAGACAATCAAGCAAAAGCAAACGGTCAATGGACTAAAAATATTTGTATTTTGTATTACCGCAGTTTACTCATCAAACCATCACGGTTTGTTTTCATAAAAGAAACAAGCAACATTGAAGTTCTTTAAACAAAGGAATCCAAAATCCAACCGGCATTTATGGAAAGGGGACAAAACCGGTAAAGTGAAAAAGAACCAATGGTTTAACTGCGGCTAGACCTTAAAAAGAAACGAGAGAAATTTAAAAACGAGGCTTCAAGATTCTCCCTCACTTTGCCTGAGGATGAGAAGCAATAAAATCAACAGCAAGACTAATGGAGCTAATCTTGTCTGCTTCGTTGTCAGGTATCTCAAATCTAAATTCTTCTTCAAGAGCCATCACAAGTTCAACGGCGTCTAAACTGTCTAGCCCAAGATCATTCTGGAAATGAGCAATTGGAGTAACCTGTCAAGATTTAATTTTTAAGCGGTTAAGAATTAAGGAAGCAAAAAAAGAAACCTGGCAAAGTCTCATACACAATACTTGAAAAATAGAGCCAAAAAAAAAAGTTCAGAAACGCGCAACTAGCGAACCTTCGAACAAACATCAGAGGTTGACATTTTTCAAGAAAAAACACCTTAAAACAGTTTATTCCAATTGTAGTAAAGAGTGAGTAACGTAGCTACATTATCCAAGTCTTTAGTAAGACAAGATTAAAGGGTGCAAATAGAGGTTCACATAGACTACAGTTTTGAATAGTATGAAAGCTTAGGCCCATATCCCTCCATGACATCCATCGAAATTTGCATGAACAAGAGGAATTCCCGCTTTAGAGAATTGGTTTTCGAGCATACCGCTTCTGTAGACAATTTAAGACGAATTTACACATAAAAATAGAAGGATAATAACTAAAACTTCAAAACTTGTCGTGTAAAAAAACATTAACAAGGCTCATTATAACCTTTGGTCTGATGGCATGGAAAGCGAATCTGGGAGGGCTTTGGGTGAAGGTTGCGGGTTCCATCTCATTCGTAATATATATTAATTTTATTTACAGGACAGCATATGCTAATGTGCTTTCTTTAAATATATATATATATATATATATATATAAACACAGTAGAATAAAATCTAGAAAATCTTAAGGCAGTAAAAACACAAAATATACAAACCTATAACTCTAGATCTAGTGTTGAACTCAGAAGACAGATCATAGAGTTGGAGAATAACAGATAACAGAAAAAACAAGGTAGAATCCCTGATAGTAAAATTAACAGAATGAAACATAATATGACATTACTGCAACAATATCGAGTGTCTTGTAAAATAACAAGGAGGAATGACATTAACATCATTCTATACGTAATAATATCGCTGCTGAGATTGGCTTTATACGGTGACAAGAAGTAAGCAAATATGTGTAAGATAATCATTCGTCGCACATCTATAATAATTTTGGGAAACCAATTCACTATCATTTTCATATCCATAATCGATAATTCCGAAGACTACACAATGCTGAACAGGATTTACATGAAAAAAAAAAAAGTAGAACCATTTTCAGATACTGAATAAAGTTGAACTTTCCAGAGCAAAAAAAAAAAAAAAAACTTTCAGCAACCCGAAATCAGTCCCATGTATTAGGGTTTATAGAAATCGTTTCCAAAACGTTGAGAGAGGATATAGTATACCTTGGCGGGATCAACTTTCTGGAAGTTCTTGACAACGGAGATAACACGATCGGTGACCTCGGACTTGTCGAGGAAGGAGCCCCTGACCTCCTCCGAGAAGAAACGGCGGCGTAACGCGTGGAAAGATGACAGTAACAGAGAGCCAGTGGAGCTAGGGTTTTGAGGCACGGCCTGGACTTGCACTCTCAGATGCTTCAGCAATAAGCCCCTCGCCGCCATTGGAAGCTCTTTTCAGTACCCCTCTCTCTCTCTCTCTCTGAAACTTCTACACTTCTCTCTCTCTCTCTGACTCTCTCTCTCTCTCTGTAGCGGTGAAGAGAAGAAGAGAGAGAAATGATGAGAGAAATAGTACAAGGAGCATCTGAGGCCTGAGCCGACTAAAACGGTGTCGTTAATGTGCGGAATGTGAATGGGCTTAACGAAGTGGGCTTAGAATGTCATATCCAAACTTAAGCCCAATTTGAGTCCCAAAAGACTGTCACGATCACAATCTCTTGAGCTTAACGAAAACAGGATGTTCTGTATAACTGAATACCGAAGGTGTGAAATTCTGGACAGTGAAAACAACAATGATGATAGCTCTCGTCTTCATTTCCGTATTTGTCCTTCTTGTACTCTTATTATTCAAATTCGCTACGGCTGAAGGTAATACATATATATATATATATATTTATATGTATAATACAGATAGATAAATGTATCATATAAACATATATATATATATATACATTTTTAATTTTTATTATTAACTTTGGCTGTGAAACTGGAAATTTTCTGGGCCTTTATGTTTTAACTTGTTGGCTAATTAGGGGATTTCACTTTGATTTCCAAAAGACACATGAAGCGTGAAGAAATTGAAGATAAGGTGAGCTTCTGACATTGTTTTATTTTTTATTTTTAAGAATATTGTTTCTGGAAATGAATAATTTTTTTCCTTATGGTCGGGCTACTTTGTTTCAGGTTTTCTGGATTACTGGTGCTAGTCGGGGAATTGGTATGTGATATTTTTTCTTTTTTCTTTTTCTTTTCTTTACTATATGCGTTCTAATAGATTAGATTATACTTGTTACATTTGTTGTTGTTTTCTGGGGATATTCAAGTGATTGCTTTTCATTTCTGTTTATGTTTACATCAAGCTTCTGGAGAGATATATATATATATATATATATATATATATTTATATTAAACAAATAAAAATGTCCTACTTCAATTCACCATGTATAATTGAAGGCGCAAAGTTGACAAATTTCGAGCTGTTCTTACTTTAAAATGATGTATGACTGTTTTGGTACATTAACTCTTCAAATCCATGAAGATTTTTACCTTACAGATCCTGTAAGCTCATCTCTGTATTCCCCAAATGGGTTTGTTCATTGCTCTGAAATCTTCTCGTGTCCCTTTTTTTGTGATTGCGGTTGTCACTTCTATGTTGACTTTCACTGATATCGTGGATGAAAATGGTACTCATGAAGTCATGATGGATGATGGTAGAATCATTGTTATAAGCTAAAACTAGATAGACAAATTTGACCTATGTAAGTTTCATCTTATTGATAGATAATGAAACAAAAATTTCAACTTTGGCATTTCATTCATATATCCCAATGGTTTTGATAGGCTTGAAGTTCTGCCTTTTATACCTTTTCTAGCAAATCTTAAGCCATAAAGATTTATAGTTGTAATTCTTTTCGCGGTGGGTGTGAAGGGGAAGTTCTTGCTAAGCAACTTGCAAACTTAGGAGCTAAGCTTATCCTTTCTGCGCGAAATGAAGCTGAACTGGAGCGAGTTAAGAATCAACTTACTGGTAGGTGAATGAAAATCTGGATATATGCCCCTGACCTTCTTAACATTGTTGTTTATATTTTATAATTCTGATTATGTCTTGTTGGCTCAGGTAAACATGCACCGGATGGCGTTAAGATTTTGCCATTGGATTTGACATCTGGTGAAGATTCTCTCAGGGAGGCTGTAGAGAAAGCGGAATCATTTTTTCCTGATAGTGGTGTTGATTACATGATCCACAATGCGGCTTTTGAGCGTCCTGTAAGTGATAAATAATTTGTTTGTGATAATGTGAACCCGAACAATGTTTAGCTAGTTAAATGGACTCGGGCAAAATTGTTAGATGGGCAAATTCTTAATAAGAAAAGTTGGATACTGAAGTGGACAACGGATTAAATCCTATAATGCATCTACTTTTTGGTTCTTTTGCAGAAACAATCAGCTCTGGAGGTTCCAGAGGAAGGTCTTAAGGTATGAAATAAAAGGAGCTCAGACCTCATCTCTGAGTCAGTTACTGGCCCTTGTGTGTCAATAGCCAATTGCTTGCTTAGAGAGCTCAAAACTCAAAGATGTCATGATGTTTGAAATTCTTTCTTTTTTACGCCCGTCATCTTTTTCCTTTTCTCATTAGAAGTATCTCTCGTACTGGTTGTAGGCAACATTTGATGTCAATGTTTTTGGGACAATCTCTCTCACACGAGTCCTGGCACCTCACATGCTGAGGCGGGGAAAAGGTCATTTTGTTGTGGTATGTGGATGATCAGCCTGTTTATTAATCACTATCTATTATCATTCTGGCCTCATCTATCCACAACTCGACTAGAAGTTAATGGAAAACTATTTTCCTTCTTTCTCTGTAGAGCTTTTATATTAGCCTTATGCAGTCTGACTTGTTGCCTAACGAGCTGTCTTATGAATGTATTTATCTTTCCTATGAAATTTTACTCAGTCAAAATATCCCCCGTTAAAAAGTTCCATCATTATTTGCCAAGACTTTATGTGCAGATGAGCAGCGCTGCCGGAAAGACACCTGCACCAGGTCAGGCTTTGTACTCTGCTTCTAAACATGCTCTGAATGGATACTTCCATACTTTGCGTTCTGAGGTATGACCTTTACCTCTTTCGTGAGGGAAATGACCGAGTTGCACCATGCTCTACAATCTGGTTGTGTAATTGGATCCTTTAACGTATTATTGTTCCCTGAAAATGAAATACTCAAAAAAAAAAAAAAAAAAAAAAAGGGACAGGCGAACAAGATGGTTGTGCACTTGCCCACGTGGAGTTTTCACCTGTATATAAATTCCGTTAGAACATATATAAAGAGTTTTAAGGATTGAGGTTGGCTTGTATCTTTAACAAACCAAATAGCTGGACATTTTGGAGTTGACCACGATAGGCCAAGTGATTAAACAATTTTTTGCTAAATATAGTGATTAAACAATTAGGTAGACACAAGAGGTTGGTTCTAAATTTTTCTCCTTGTAAGGGTGGACAGGGAGGGAGGGACGAATGGAGAGAGAGGGACAGGGAGAGGGGGAGGGGAAGGGGGTGGTAGGTCCCCGGGGGAGAGAGACTGATTCTTAAACTTTTATGTCCATGATGATAAATTGATATCTGAGAGAGATTTACGTCCGTGTTCATAGCCTCTTTTCCTACACGTCTTATACTGATTCTTAAACTTTTACGTCGATGAGATTGCGGCACCTCTTTTCCTACGTTTTATATATGCCAAATTACGTTTTACTCATTTTGCTACCTCATTTGACTATACAGCTTTTTCAGAAAGGAATCAAGGTGACTGTTGTTTGCCCAGGGCCAATAGAAACATCAACTGGTTCGGGAGCATCATCTTCTGCAACCAAAGGTCTTTCTGAGGTTAGTACCTTCTAATATGTATCTTAGACTGTAGATTTACCTACTGTCATTGGTTCTATTGCTTTTACGCTGCCCTCTTGATCCTATGAAGAGAATTTTGCAGGTTCAGGACATAATTTGCTCCCTGGATTTCTTGCATTCAAAGTTCTTTACAGTTTTGTTTTTCCTCTCTTTTTTCATCACAGAAGCGTGTGTCATCAGAAAGGTGCGCTGAGCTGACAATAATTGCTGCCAGCCATGGGCTAAAGGAAGCTTGGATATCTAACCAGGTATTTCAATTAACAGATTCTAGTTGCGATGGATATGCCTTTGCACTTCGTAGATATTCTGTCTTGTTTATAACAATCCAATCTCATACATTTCTTTATCATAGTTTTTGCCTCATTCTATACATCTAAACTTTTATGATATCGGGTTCTTTTGTAGCCTGTTCTAGCTGTCATGTATTTGGTGCAATACATGCCAACCGTTGGTTTTTGGCTCATGGACAAGGTATTTCTTTAGTCTCAAGCTTGATGTGTTCGACTCAACATCTTTAACATGGTAGGAAATACTTCTTTGCTCCGCCATTGCAGTCTTGTTCACTTTGGTTTTGCTTTTCAGATCGGTGGAAAGCGGATTGAAGTTGCTGCGCAGAAGGGCAACGCTTACTCAATAGGCTTACTATTTGGGAAAAAGAAGTCATCTTGACTTGAATCCCCTTTCTTGGATCAGAAGGAACAGCCAAGTTCAAACTAATTTGGCACATGAAAAGAACGAATTGATATACTTCCTTTTCTTTCGCTATTTTATTTTCTCTGCAAATTTGAGTCGCAGGTCCAAGGACTTGAACTTCAGATGCTTTTAATAGAAACCCAATAAATTTTACCATAGCTGTATATTAAGATGTGTTGCGTTAAAAAATGGCACCTCCCAATTTGAAGGTGCTCTGTTTTTCTTATTTTATTTTAATTTTTTGAAAAAACTTATTGGGTGCGTTTGAAATCGATTTTAAAATAATTTTGTTTTTTGTATGAAATTGACAGAAAAATGCGTTTGGTAGTTTTATTAAAAGATTATTTTTAACATAAAAAAAATTAAAACTCTATTTGATTATACGTTTTTGAAAACATCTAATAGTATTTTAAAGAATATATTAAATAATTTTTTTTTTCTTTCTACTTTACCCTCATCTCTGAAATGGCAGAAATGAGAAAATGGTAAAAAATATATTAAATAATCTGTAAGCTGCTCGGAGGAGTGAGAGAGGAGAAAATGACAGAAATGAAAACGACTTATTTTCATTTTCAATTTCTCATTTATATTACACTAAACTAAAAACCGGTTTTATTTCTATTTTTTTGTCTTTCATCTACTCCAAACGCAATCTCTTTCTCAGTTTTATTTTTTTTTTTTTGCTTGGAAAACGTAAAAAACGGTTTCAAAACTGAGACCAAACACGCAGATCAATTTCAAGTTGATTACAATGCTCAATCCTCCTCACTCACTCAATATCGAATAATGCATATTTATGAAATTAAATTGCTTTATCTATCTTATGTTATGGATGTTATTAGGAAAAAGAAAAAATATATATATTAAAAAGAAATTATTATGTCAAAAATAAAATTATCATTTATCCTAGTTCAGATAATCAGTTGATAGTTTTTTTTTTTAAGAAGAAAATTAGTTGATAGTTAAATTAGCAAATACTCGTATAATCGTATTTAGAAATATATTATCGTTTTATTATTATTGCAAGGGGGAAAAAAAGAGTATAAAAGGATTTAGAAGGCGCAAAGCGGGCTACGGCGCAGCAGAATCTTCCGTACACGTGGCATTGCGTCAACCGTAGATTTGAAAGGCCCAAACGAACTAGGGTTTTGAAAAGGGGAGCGAAGGCCTATAAATAACTCTCATTTCTCTTCTTCTTCAGCAACTTCTTCAAATTGTGTTTTCTTTTTTGTTTTTAGTTTTTTGTGTGTTTCGATTAGAATCCGCGTCTTATACTGATTACCACCGCTCATTTCTCTTACCAGTGAGCGTTGCGTATGAGCAGACGCCATAGTTGATCCGTTTCTGCGAAGCGCAGACAGGAATTGCTAAGCCTCTTTGTTTTTCGCCGTTTCGGGCAAATTCCATTACTTTTTCACATTCATCCTTCGATTCCCGTTTCAAAGTTTTATTTCTATTTTTATTTTTTTGTTTGAATATATTGTTAGAGTTGGAAGTGATGATTTTTTCCCCAGATGATCGACGCTGATTATACTGTGCTTTATTTATTTTTCTCGTATGAGAATCCAAGCCAGATTTCTGATCCTTTCTCATCTTTATTAATTTTCTTTTTAATTTTTTGGTTTTTTTTTTAATTTTTCCTATTGGGAAATGGGAATTTAGGATTATTGTGTACAGAAAAGAGGTGGAGGTGATGATCATTTCCCCAGATGATCGACGCTGATTATACTGTGCGAATTAGTTATCTCTTTCGAGATACCAAGCCAGATTTCTGATCCATTCTCTTTTTTTTCTTTTTCATTAAAAGTGTTTTGTATGGTTTTCTTATTTGTTGTGCTTTTTCAGTGAAAATAAAGGAGGTTACATTTTTTTTGCTGAATTAGATAGATGGAAGTGATGATTATTTCCCCAAATGATCGACGCTGATTATACTGTGCGACTTAATTTTCTCTTTCGAGAGACCAAGCCAGATTTCTGATCCATCTATTCATAACTTGCATTCTTAGCCTAGATAATCAATTTCAAATTAAAAAAAAAAATTAATCTGTTGAGTTTTTCTCTCTCAACAATTTTCATTTATTTTGGTATCAAAATTTTTCCTTCTCAAGTTTCCTATTCCATATCACGGGTGGACGGACAGTTTTGAAATTGATTGATCGGAGAAATGTCGTATAATTTAGACTTTATTCATTCACAGTAAATTAAAATTATTTTTAATTTACTGTGTATTTTTTATGAAAAAAACTGTATAATCACGAATTATTATCTTAATTATAACACAAATTTATTAATTAAATACACACTAATCAAATTTCATAGAACTGCTGTGAACGATTAAACGTGTTATAATATTATTCAAAAGAGACATGAAAAGATAAAACGACGAAAAGAAAACAAAGAAAAAGTGGACATTGGAGATGGATTTGTAAACGTTGATGATGAAAGCAAGCTATGAGAACAAAGGCGCTGTACTGGCGACAATCTTTTCCTGTATAAATTTAAATTCAATTGCTTTTCAAACAAGTATGCTTAAACGTCATTAATCACCCCACTAGTAGACACGGCCATGCTGTATTTGTACTTGAGGAAAGCCTTGATGAAGGGTTCCAATTCACCGTCCATCACAGAAACAATATCTGACGTTTCCAATCCTGTCCGTACATCCTTAACAAGTTTGTACGGATGAAAAACATAGTTCCTTATTTGCTGGCCCCACTCGGCCTTCACTGCATCTCCTCTTATTTGCTTGATCTCAGACGCCCGTTGCTCCTCGGCTATGACCAACAACTTGGCTTTCAACCGGCTCAGAGCTTTGATCTTATTTGCCAGTTGAGATCTCTCCTCTGCATGGTTAGTTAGCTTGGTGAGTTCTAACTTCTAAACCCACTAAACAAAAAGAGGAGAAAACGACAGTGGTTCATTCGACGTTTAGAACATTTTAAGAGAAACACCTGTACACCGAAGAGTAACACCAGTTGGGATGTGAGTGATTCGAACGGCAGTTTCAACTTTGTTCACATTCTGACCGCCTTTCCCACCGGCTCTCGAAAAACTTATGTCCAAGTCCTCATCTGGGATTTCAATGTTTATGGACTCCTCCGGTAGAAGAGGCATTACTTCAACACCAGAAAAGCTGGTCTGCATATGATTAAACTCACAAAGGATGCGTGGGAAAATGAACCTTTTTTAAGCATGTTTTTAGATAAATGTCCCCGGTGTTGTTAGATATGACCGTTTTGTTAAAAATGGTCAATCAGTGATTGGTCAATATCAATAAGTGTCTTAACAAATGTCAACCAGTAATCTACTAGTCAATTAGTAATGGACTTGCTGATCAATCGCAGATTCGATTGATTGATGCATCAACCGTTTTAAAATGGTCACCAATAATTTTCTTTTCTTAAAAAAAATGATTAATATTTTTAAAAAGGAGTGGCCAAAACCGGCCACCTCACCTAATTTCAAAACAATAGAATAGGACAATATTTGTTATCTATTTGGATAAAAATGTCTAGTAAACTAGTATGTGAATATGGATGCTTCAGAGAGATGATTCTATGGATACCTGGCGAAGACCTTTGGAATTAAAAGGAGACTGTCTCACTATGCGATGTGTTCCTTTCTCCCCAGACAAGTAGCCATAAGCATAGCGACCTTCGACTTCAATTGTCGCGGACTTGATCCCCGCTTCCTCTCCTGGGGATTTTTCAACCACTCTTGTCTTGTATCTCTGCTTTTCTCCCCATCTCACATACATCCTGAGAAGCATGTCAGCCCAATCCTGCACTGGATATTATCAAAAGGTATTTATACAAGAATTGAAAGGAGAGAAAAATAAAGGGAGAAACTAATTTTGGTCAAATGTGAATGCCATTGCTCTGACTATTTGCATTGGACATACGAATGACTATTATTTACCTGAGCATCAGTGCCTCCAGCACCAGCTGTTATAGAGATAACAGCTCCTTCTTTGTCGTAAGGACCCGAAAGAAGTTCGGTCAACTCAAACCGATCTAATGCCTTGTTCAGTTCCTTGATGATAGTGTTTGCTTCTTCGAGCAGGGCGGTGTCTATGGAGTCCATTTCTTCAGTTAGCATAATTATTGTTTCTGCATCTTCAACCTGCATTTCGGGAATTAGTATAACGGCACGTATCATATCTAGAATTTAACAAACGAAAATGAACATTTTCTGCCCTTTGATATAGCGCAAATGCAATGATTTTTCCCAAGGAAACTAAAAACCATTTAAAAAACTGTATGACAATTTTACAAAGAACTAAAAACATTTCAAGCCACGAGCTCATGTTATACTCCGAAAGCCATGAAAGTTTTCACAAAGACACTAGTAACTGAGTTAGCTGCATACATAAGCTTTGAAACCATGCATCAAATCAATAGTTGGCTGTGTAAATTTTGCAAGGAGTTATAACCATAAACCTTTAACAGGAAATATGTAAATTCTTCAGAAACTGAAGCAAGATTCTACAAATGACTATAATTTTTTCATGCTTTCTAAGAAACCATAACCACATCAAGCTGATTTCCAGAAGAAAAAAAAAAAAAATATATATATATATATATATCAAGCCACATGCTCATTTTATTATCTTAATCACAAGCAGAGAAACGTGTATGGACCTTTGCTTTGAACTCAGAAAGCAGTTTTATCTTGTCTTTGACATCGGTCAGTGCTAAAAGCGTCTCTTGAGCCTTAGCTCGATCATCCCAGAAGGAGCTATCGGCCGCTTTTGACTCCAAAACTGCAAGTTCCTCCTCTAATTGTTGCAGACCAGCGGATGCTCTAATCTCTTCAACACGTTCGGAGACTGTTTCAACATCCTTTCTCAAAGAATAAAAATCTGCGAGAAAACCGAGCAATCATAGGATAATAACTGAATTAACCTGGATGAATGTTCAAAATCATGCTACACTCAATTGAATGGTTGCTTTCACATTATGGTCTCAAAAAGTCCTACATCCAACTACAAAAGCCTTGTCCTTTTTAGGCAAGGCATTTTGGAAATGCTAAAAGACAGTAACAAAACTAACAACCCAAAAAGAACAAGAAGGAACCACCTTTTCTAGCTCAAAAAAGCCCTACAAGGCGGCATAAGTGTTAATACTGAAAAAAGAAGACTTCTTTATGTTATTAATAACGGGTTAAGAAGCATGCTAATTAAAAAATTAAGTTTAAAGTACTTGCAACATACCTTGCATAGCCCATTCTCTTACATCATTGTTGACTTCTGTTCCTACTTGCCTTTCTTGCGTAGCATACAAAACTGAGGCAATTCAAAATATCAACTAAATAAGAAATTCACCTCCTAGATACAGTAAAGACACATAATAATTCAAAAGCATTACTTAAAGCACAATTTTTTTTTTATTTTTTATTTTTATGGAAGAGTATAAATCACCAAACGGCAATCGACAAGAAACCTAACAGAAACATCAAAACCCAATCTCAATTAATTTTAAAAACAAAAGAAAAGACATTTTGAGGAAAGTAACTATGTAGAACGAGAACCATAACAACAGAACACAGATAGTAAAAGTGCTGATTTTGAGAAGACCCGATGAAGAAAATACTAGGAAGAAAAGCAAACATAAATAAATCCCAGATGAAGAAAGAAACGGGAAAATGGATTTGAGTTCTCAAACATACCATAAGGAGGAAAACGGGAAAGCGGGAATTTAGTGGATAAGGTGAAGTTGGGCGAGTAAGGACAGCGAGAGGATATGGGCATTAAAGGAAGCAATTGTATCGGCAACGACGCTTTATTATTTCTGGGTTTTGGGGATGACACCATGGATGAGCTGCACAGAGGCCGAAGAAGACCTTCCATGGCTCCTTTAAAGCACTGCTTCTTCACTTCTTCTTCTTCGCTTTGGGCTCCATTTTTTGCAGCAAAATAGAAGAAATGTTCCCTTTGGTAAGCATTCAGATGCTGCCACGTCGACGCAAACCCAATATAAATATCTGCCGCTGATCCACACTAGGACCAGATTTTTACGATTATCGGATGACTCGTAATATTTCGGGTGTTATAAAGAGAGGAGCTCAGGAGGAGTCAAAAAAAAAAAAACTCTTAGGTATAGCTCACAAGAACGACATGTCGTTTTCCGTTTGAAATCTTTTGCAGCCTGTTCAGATTCAAAACGACATACCGTTTGTTGTTTAAGATGAACGAAAAGACGTAACATTTTTAGTAGTGTAAAACACAACGTCGCTCGTCACATAGCACCACAAAACATGTTTCATAAAGTTTATGTTGTATATGTGCCCAATCTGTATGTCGTTTCTTATCTAAAGCTAACCGTCGTTTCTTATCTAAAGTTAACCGTCGCTTAGACTATAAAAGAGAAAAAAGAAAGAGAAAAAGCAAGCAAGCAAACAAAAAAACGTGTGTTTTACTTCCATAATATGCCGTTTGCTGCTGCTGTCACTTGGTAGTTTAAAATCTGCTAAAAGAAAACGACTAGTAGTTTCATTGTTTTTGGTCAAACGACAAGTCGCTACGCTATTCAAACAATTTGCCTTTTGTCCCGAGGATAGTACATAGTTGTCTCGTACCCTTATTAGTGCATGACTCAATATTTTTACCTTTTATTCTTAATTTATAACCTTTTTAATTAAATAATTATTTATCAAGAATAAGAGATAAAAGTCTAAATTCGTACACTTTTAAGAGTATATTATCTATTTTTTCTTACAAATCAAAACAAGGAGCAATAAAATTTGAACTTTCATCAAAACATTCAAAACCTTGTTCAAGTTACAACACTCCCAAAAAAAGGTGCACACCTAGGATTAATACACACCTTCACTACATTTGATAAGCGTGAACAAAAAATTAAATACACACCCATCTATAGATTTTCTTTTTTTTATTATTATTAATTCATATTTTTTCAGCATGTCAACTGAATAACTTTGAATTCCATGGTTTCTACTTCAAGCTCAGGGCTCGTTTCAGGGCCTCGAGAACTTCTTTGCAGGCAACTTTCTTTCCTATTTTCTTATCCGAAACGTTTGAAGTGTGCCTGTATGTGACTCCATTTGCTTCAACCTCTATTGTTATGGAAGACACACCGTTTTCGCGGGACTTGACGGGTTTCTTCATATCAAAATGCATTTTTTGGCAAAGTTCATTCAGTTCTTTCGCCGGGTGAAGCTTGACAGTTTCAGGTGTTATCAAGGGCTCTAATAGAGGCCTTATACTCTGAAAGACAAGTTCCTTGTCGTATCCAGAATCAACAAAAATTGCACCAGCAAGTGACTCTATAACATCTCCAAGTACCTGTAAACAAAAATTAAGTATAACTTTGTAAGAGGTAAATGCTTTCAAATCTTTCTTCTTGCTTTCCTTTTGTGTCAAGTACTTATAAAGCTAAGTAGGGCTAAAGTATTCCCCTCCTTCAGAATTGAAACTAAAGACCTTCAACGTAAGTATAATTAATGCGCAACATGTGACAAATACTAATGCCTGACCTTCGGAAAAGATGTCTCTGACTCCCATCCGAATGTAGACTCTGAAGACAGCTTCTCAAAATTGATTATGGTGTTAGCTATTTCCTTGTGCAGCTGGTGTGACGTATAAAGAATGTGCTTCTGTAATCCAGCCTTGACGGCAGACAAAGCATAACAATCGTTGTTGACAGAAGCAGACCTCATGTCAGTTAACTTTTCCGGCGACATCCCAGGATATGTATTATAAAAATGCATCGTGATGACATAGTCCAAAACAGCGTCACCAAGAAATTCCAGCCTCTACAAGACGGGAAGATTGTACATGTCTAGGTTAGAATACCTCAAAATATACCGACTTTTGAGAACAAAATAAGGTAAAGTTTCATGATCATACCTGATAACATCTTGGAATCTCAGGAAGCATGTAGGAACCATGGGTTAATGCCTCAACCAATAGAGAATGATCCCGAAATGTGTAGTTCAAAAGGAACTCTAAGTGTTTAATATTAAGAAACAGTTTCATGATCATACCTGATAACATCTTGGAATCTCAGGAAGCATGTAGGAACCATGGGTTAATGCCTCAACCAATAGAGAACGATCCCGAAATGTGTAGTTCAAAAGGAACTCTAAGTGTTTAATATTAAGAAGCCTATCAGATTGCACTTGGAAGTGGGTCTCGTATGGTTTAAACTCGAGATCGACCTCTATACCAAGCCAATTCATAAATTTCACGGCAGGGATTTCCCCACCAGTGCTTAGGAAAGCACCAATAAGTGCCTCAACAACATCTGCAACTCTTTTACTTTTCATCTTTTTCGTTCCTTTGATGTAAATTATTTTCTCATTCGGTAGCACATCCTCTAGTAGTGCTTTGTTGGTCGAACTATCTCCTGGTATGATCCAGTTTTTAGGATCAAAATACTCGTCACGAATAAAGCCCTGCAATGTGAAAATGAACAGTAGAAACCAAGTTAGAAACACGGCAAATTACTATCACCATTGAGGAAAAACAAGTCGGTTAGAAGAACATCTAAATCATAAAGTTTCTATTTAAATAAAACAATTACCGGAAGTTTGCGCTCGCATCCAAATTTACATAGGGCAGCATTGGAAATTATTTTGTCCTTCTTCACACTAAGGAGGCCCTCGTGATTATTCTGATAAGTTTTGAAAAGATGTTGACCAACGGCATATTTAAGAAACGAATCGCCAAGAGTTTCTAGAGATTCCAAATGGAATTTCTCTTGGCACTTTTTGGTTGTGATAGCTTCCAACACCTATGCAAATACAAAAGTTGAGATGAAAAAAAAAAATCGAAAGACCAATTAACCACAGGGTCACTATAATGGTAAAACACTGGGCAAATGACAACTCAAATTGATAGTGGATAGTACATGTTGAGTACTTTAAATTTCAACCTCGAGAGAGCATATGCGTAGTGAAATATAGCTTGATCCTCCAATAACCTTTTCAAATAACAATTATAATGACCGCTGATAATGTCAAAAAAGTTATTATTAAGAAACCCTCAGCGGGATTACCTCTAGAGCAATTACCCCTATAGAAAGGCAATATTTTAATAACAAATAGAGCTAATATTTTACTGTAAGAAGCTTGACAACAATAATAACAGTAACAAAACAAACCAATTGGACCACCTTATTGTATTAAAGAAACGTCACTTTATGTTAGGCAAACACATTGAATAAAATATTATGAGTCAATAAGAGTACACTACCTTGACGGTTGGAATGTTCACATTTTGCACGCAATGATCCAAATGCATCCTTTTCAGGCTTGCAGCAATAAGCAAACCCTCGATTTGATGCATTATGGATGGAAAAAACGAAAACGAATAGAGTGTGCTTGGTGAAATGGGCGACATAATAATATAGCACAACTCTGGCGGCAGTTCATCAGTGATATTACTAGACTCTGCAAAGATGAAATAAAATAAAGAAAATAAGGTTTTACATTATGATCCATAAACAAAGACATAGAGGAAACAAAAGTACCTTAATGTCTTTTTAACATTTTACTATCCTGATTGGGAAATAAATAAATAAATTCCAATCAACTGCTTACTTATAAACTTATCCAATGTTGACTAGGAAAGGGTGCACTCCTAAATATTTGTTAGAATGAAAGAAATGAGGAATGTAACATTCCTACAATCGCAATCGCAATCCAATAAAATTACTAGAACATTGACCGGTAACTTCATGTTCCCTAATCTTATTTCAACAAGAGAAGACAGAGAGTCTAGTATAACAGATATCGAACCTTTTTCCCTCGCTTCTCTGTGTAAGAGATAATTTTTCACACGGAAAAGTCTTCTCCCTCTGAACAGCGGTTCATTGCAAAACTGTAAATTGATCCCATGCCTGAAATTCACAATTAGGTTCAAAACTAGGTAGGTTATATATTCCATATGATATAATCCCGTAAAATCTGCACAGATGCATCATGCAATTACAAGTAAAAGAGATAGCATTCAGCAACAAACAAAAATCTTATTCTATACCTGAATTTTATTGAAAGTTCATGAAAAGTACTAAATAATATACACACAAAGAGTATAGATTCAAAGGAGTGCATACTTTTCTTTGAAGTACTTTCTGTATGTGGTACATGTGCCATCCGTGAGGTCTAAACGCGATTTTCCATTCATTTTTTCCAGAATTCCAGTGACGCAATAAACACTTTCACTGTGAGGGGTATAGACCAATGAATTCCGGAGCATACAAGTGCAGACGATACCATTTTTCGTATGTATGCACCTAGAGATACCCTTTGGCAAAGGGCAACTCATATGATCCTTGCAAAATTCTTCACTTGAAAATAACACAGAGGTGACAGACTTCCAGTCAATCAAAGGCCTCTTATTCATGGTGATGGCAGGAAGAAGAAGATAATCAATCTGAATAGTTTCTGAAAAATAAAGCTGACTATGAACTTCTCTCAAGTTATCGAACTTATGATCCACAAGAAGTCTGAGGAGAGTTACTTGAAACATTCTAGACCATGTTACCTATCAAAAATATTTGCAAACAAGAGAACCTGTTAATTTATCAAGTATATCCAATAAATGCACAACAGCATAAGCAACAAAGCACAGGAGCTCTTCTTTTTTTTCTTCTTTTTTTGTAATAATAAGCACAAGAGCTCTTACTTGGTCCCGGTTAAGACTAAGCGTTCCAACATTCTTTAAGTTTACTGTGACACTGCCCCTCCCAACTTGTAAGTCAAAATGGATATTTGCAAGATCACTTTCAAGCGCACTTCTCATGCAAAGTACAAGGTCGTGAATAGGAACGTCATATCCAAAATCTTGCTTTAACTCAATAAGGTAGCAATGATAAGATACTCCGGCATCAGCAGGGCCAAAAGAACCAACCATTTCAGAAGGTACATAACTGGGTTGTTCGTCTTTATACGGCTGACTCGCTGCAAAACGGGCAGTTACAAGCAAAGCAATATAGTTGTCGAGAAATTCAAAATAACATAAATTGACAAATACATTCCAAGCATAAAACCAATAAAACCAAGCGAAAATGTTGTCATGAGATTTTAACTTTTAAGATTACCAAGCTCTTTTGCATTGTCTTCTTCCACAACAATATCTGGGACGAGATTATCAGTTAATGCACCAATCTGATGAAGTTGCTTGCATGCTTCAAGACATGCAATCTGCTTAAGAATCTTTGGATTTCCTTCCGCAGAAACAGCTTGTATTGGACAGCTTTTGGGCAGGTAGAGGGTGCCAGTGTTGAGATCCCACCTTGGGGTAGGTTTAAAATAGCTGTTAAAATTTAAAAAATAAAAATAAAAAGTGAATAAAAACAGTTGACGGAGTGTCATAAAGTAAGGAAAATACAAAAAGAACGCAAATAAAACTGACCCATCAGAAGGGAGCCTTGAGCAATAAAAATATATTAAATTAATGCTAGAGCTGAGAGTCATAATAGCTCCGGTGCTTTCAACGCAATAAAAGTCCCCTTCTTGCAAGTCACTATCAAGAGGTTCGCAGGGAAGGGAAGCATGGCGTAACGACTCCTTTCTCATGATTTCTCCGCTAGCAAGATAGTTCTTCAATCGAGATTGTGTACTGTGATCCCCACTGTAATAAAATAATTGAAAATAACGATCAGTTACATTTATATACTAATCCTACAAAGAAAATTCCCAAGAAAAGAGACCGACAAATTGAATGAGGATAATATGCGAATTGTATTCCCTTGAAAATGAAAGTGCTTTCACCGAGAAAGTAAATATAACTAAAAGCTCCATAAATTATTTATAAAAAAAAAAAAAGCAAAAAATAACATTTCACAGTCATGCAGTACACGAAAGCAAGATTTGAGAAAGCTTCGGAACAGTTATAGATCAAGAACTACCTCTCTATCATTAGTACATAGTCTGAATTCTTCTTCCTAGCACGGCCTCTAGACTGTATAAAACTACATACAGTGGAAGAAGGATCAAAGCGAACAACCAAATTGCAACTTTGAACATCTAAACCCTCTTCAAGAATAGATGTTGCTACAATTATGTTCACCTGCCACATGTACATATTTCCACTATTGAGAAGGCAATTTGTACGAAGTACACTAATGAATCTGGGAAGGAAAAAAAAAAAGAGGGCATACCACGCCTTCCCGGAATTCTCCAACTATTTCATTTTGTTTTTTTCTGGTTTGTGACTGCATGTTGTTGCTACTTCCAGCAATATATTTCGCCTTCCAGTTAATACGTTTGGGAAGCAATTCACTCAATAAGGATTGAATAACAACAGCAGTCACGATCCTTTGCACAAAAACAATACATCTTAAATCCTTTAAGTGCCTGTATTCACAAAATTAAACTCATTAACAAGTAATGTTTGTACAGTTTAAAAAGGTAACAGAACATAAACCAATCAATTAACTTGCATTTGGATAAAACTTTCGAGAAAAAGAGTATGCTTCATTCATGTGAAATACCTTGATTCTACAAGATATAACCAGTAGGTAACTTGCATCATTTTACGAACTAAAACAACGTAGCATAACACACATACCTGTACTCAAGAAGTAGTTCAATTAGGCAAAAAACTTTCGCAGTTAGAAGACCCGTGCTCATATTTAGTTTGACGTCATTGATAATTGACCAGTTTGGATCTATGTGCACAAACAAGATAAATCAAAGTGAAACAAGTAACCTATGTGAACAACAACAAACCAAAACCAAACATCTCAAGCAACGAGATGTACCAGTGGGTAAGGAATTTTTAAAGGCATTAAAGGCATCCAAACTGAACTTCTTGACAATTGCCTCACCAAACACATCCACTTTGCCCCATGATAAAAATTCAATTTCATTGCATGAAAAGGAGAGAGCAGCCTGTTACAAATGCTCATTTTAATTATGCCACCACAACATTGCCAAAAACAAATAGAACAAACTCAGCACATTATTTGAATAATACCTTCATGGCCAGCCAAACACCAAGTTCATCCAAACAAAATAGTAAAGCAGAATAAACCTTCATTAGTTTTTTGCTTATAGATTCAGCTGCAGATTTGTCGAGATCTAACTTTTCCAGTGATAATTCGTGCTGAGAAGTAACAAACAATAATTAATACCCTCAAAGAAAATATACAATTACATCTTAAACTGAGACATGGAAATTAAATTTTACAAAGAAACTAATACTTCTTTGAAATTGACAAAGTCAGAAAAATAAAATAAATAAAGATGATGAATTCCAGATAAACAAACAATGAATTTTCGGTTCAAAGAAAAGTATAAACTAAGACGCATGAATCCTCAGTTCTTCAAAAGTATTAACTCCAAATGGACAACAATGTTACAAAACGCCTAAACATCTCCTCTGAAGTCTAAAGTTCATTTGAACAAAGCAACAGGATTAATTCTCATTTGTGAACATTAAAAAGAAAGGCAACACTATGACATCGCAAAGATGCAATTTCTGAATAAATTAGCGCACCTTTTCTTGTAGACTCTTCAGCTGATCTGCCAAAGAGACAAAACAATCATCGGTGATTTCCTCGTGTCTATAATATCTAAATTTTGGAGTCGATATAGGTATAAACTCCGCAATAACAGATTCACTAGCACACGTATACACCTGCAACAGAAAACCACCATAAAAGCATATAGCAAGGTTAGAGACCATACACTGTCAAAGAAATAACAGAATAAACAAGTAGAATATAGCAAGTTAGAGACCATAAAAGCAACTCGGTACGAGGATATAATTAATATTGGATAGAAAAATGGCAAGCAAAAAGAAAGTCATAATCTTCCTGCAACAGGAAAGAAACAAATGAACAACCTTGGAGTTCATGAGTGTCTCCAGTTCTTGAATATGCACCCAAAACGCAATTTCTGCTTTTCCAACTAGATTAGCAGAGGTCGAACAATGTCAGAAATTGTTAAATATTGTTGTCACTGATAAAATAAAATCAGGTGTTCCAACAATTATCACAGAATAAAAAAAAATGGCAAAGCGATGATACCTTTGGATTTTATGGGGGAAGCAGTCATTCCAAATATTCTTGGAAGATCAGTTACACCGGAACGTAACTGACGATGATAGAATTCCTGCATATAATTCAAACACATGCATAAATACAGAATCTATCATTCTATTTATTAAAATAAATCACCGTAAGCCCTTCAACAATGAAAGGCTGGACCAAAAAGTCAATAAACTGAAAGAACTATCCGCATTAAAGGGATCAATAACTCACCGACATAATGCTAGCATATGGGTGATTGCCCCTGGCATGATGGCACTCATCAACTATCAAAACCTTTATCATACTCAGTTTGAAGAAGCTGTGCCTTAAATTATTAAGTAAAATTTGCGGTGTCATGACAAGCACCTGCAATACAAAGGAATCTTATTATCTTGTGAAAGCAATACACTGAGTTTACTTAATAATACAAAAGACCACCGATCAACATATACAGCATATCCTAAAATTTTGGATGCATAAACTGAAAAGAAAAGTACATTAAGGAATTCATAGGTTAAGAATCTCCATGTTTTTAATAGGAATCATAAAGAAATATAAAAACAAAAACCCCACCTCATGTTTTTCAAGTTCTACATTCCACATATTAGCATCCCAGTTGTCAACTCCCTTCTCTCCCCAATATGTTCCAACTTTCAAGTCGGTGTGCATCTCCAAAGCCTTAGCTTGCTAAGGAAAACATAACAACCAAAAAAAAAAAGGTGAGTTAGAAGTATTTCTTTAAATTGAAAATTTTCCCTACCAGCCAGAGCTTAAATTTGAATCCCTTAAAAGCACAACAAAAAGTTTCTTACTTATAATAATAATAAGCCTCACAACCATATTTGATCATTGAAATAACCAAAAGTGTCAAAAAACCAAAAGTTTTGTATTGCTTGTGAATGTTTGACATACCTGAGGGACCAGGACAACTTGGGGGACTAAGAAAACCGAAATAAATGGAGAAGGCTTTCGCAGAAGATGGGCATAACTCCGGAGAAGCATGATGGCAATCAACGTCTTGCCAGAACCAGTCTCCAAGAACACTATTGTGTTCTGCTTAATTCCACTCTCCAATGCTTCAAGCTGGTAACTGCATTCAAACACATTTTTTTTTATAAGAAAGAAAGACCACACATTATTATTTAAAAAAAAAAAACTCAAAATAAAAGAAATTTCAACAAAACAATCCCAACTAAAACCGATGAAAAGGAAGCTAAAATTCTTTGCATTTAAAAGGCAAAAGAAAAATGTTCTTTTCATTCTTAATATACAATCACCTTCTGGCAAATGGGAGAGGATCAGCAGATAGTTGCTGGGCTCTTTCCATATCCATATTCACTGGCTCCATAGCTTCTCTCTCCACCTTCATCGATCACCAATAAAAACATCACCCAAAGTCACGAACAGATTTTCAAACAAAAAAAAAAATTTAAAAGGCAAAAGAAAAATGTTCTTTTCATTCTTAATATACAATCCCTGAAATCCCCTCTTTCTTTGACAAAGATCGCCGGTGGTCACCATTTTCAGAAACGGACAAGAAATCGTAAAGAACACCGTGAAACAAGTTTTATAAAAAACCCAAACGCCACACAATCGCTTATCGCCTGTAATATATATTTATATATATAAACAACTTTACATAAACCCAAATGCCAATAAATACGATATTTAAAAAGAAAAAAAAACCAAACGACACACGATCGCTTATCGCCTGTAATATATTTATATATATATAAACAACTTTACATAAACCCAAATGCCAATAAATACGATATTTAAAAAGAGAAACTTACGCAGAGAAGGGAAAGCGGGGCCAAGCTGCAGAGAGTGGAAAAAATATAAAAATGTTTCCTTTTTTGAGTGGTGGGTTTGAATGCGAAGAGACAAAAACGGACAGTGAAGTGGCAGTCTTCTCTGGGTTCGTTTATTTTTATTATTTATATAGAAAAAGACTAGGAACTTCCTTGGGAAGCAACTTGTTGAGCAAGATGTAATGAAGTTGGAGAAACAGAGGTCGAAAAAGGACTTTGGGAAAGTGACTCGGAACGGCTTCTTGTCCTGTTTTGTTTCTCTCTCTAGGAAAATTGATTAGAGAGAGAGAGAAATTGGTGGGAAATTGCGATGGAAAATCTAGGTGATTATTCTCTTCAGGCTAAAAAGGGCGGCCGTGAAATGCGTCATTCACCGTGTGAAAAAAGTTATTGGTTAGTCACGTAATGGTCCAATGGATCTTATACGTGCCTAGAGAAAAAGATTTTCTTTTGTCCTCTCTATAGTACGATTTATTAATAGAATCAGTTTTTAATTGATATATTCGGTTAAAATTGCATTGTTTTAAAAAAAAATTCTGGTGTTTTCTTTTTTTTTTTTTAAATATCAGTATAATTTCGTTTTTAAAAACACTGATATTTCATATTTATTAACTATCAAATTTATATTATTTTTTTAATTTAATTTAATTTTTAACTAAATTTAATATAAATTTAACAGTTGATATGCAAGAAATACTGGTGTTTTAAAAAAAGAAAAAAGACTAAAAAAATCCTATAAAAACATACAAAAACAAATGATTTGTGATATAAATCTGATGGGTGAAAAAATAAAACTACCGAAATAGTTCATTATTTAATTTGATTTTTGACTAAATTTAATATAAATTTAACAGTTGATATGCAAGAAATACTGGTGTTCTAAAAAAAGAAAAAAGACTAAAAAAAATCCTATAAAAACATACAAAAACAAATGATTTGTGATATAAATCTGATGGGTGAAAAAATAAAACTACCGAAATAGTTCATTTTTTCGATCTTACCAACAAAATTCTCTTCTTTTGAAAGTTTGGAAGAAAAAAGAAAAATATGTGATTGGTGATTCAAGATGGGTGATAACCTATGGTGATTTGGTCACTTGTGAAAATAAAAATTAAAAAACATAAGCGAAATAAGGCGAATTATGTGGTAGAACCCCAAAATGCCATCGGTGGAAGAGTTGTGTTTAGTCGTTTGATTAAATTTTCAATGATTATATATGTGCATATTCATCTTAAAAATTTATAACGTGTCGCGTATAACTACTCATTATACAAATATGACTGTTGAAAATTTAATCCAACGGGGTCAAAAGCAGCGCTTCCACCGGTGGAAGCATTTAAGATGTTCCACTGTAGAGGAAACTGGCAAAATAAAACAAAAGTATGTGAATGGTTTGAAAGTTTAAAGTCAGTGGGATACAGTTTTGAGATTGTTTCTTTTATCAAGTTTTGTTAATTTGTCGAATTTTTTTAATGCTTTTAACTAATAAAAATTATGGTATTTTATCCACTTTAACAATAGTTCAGTTTATCAAGTTTTGTTAATTTGTCGTATTTTTTAAATGCTTTTAACTAATAAAAATTATGGTATTTTATCCACTTTAACAATAGTTCACTCATGTGATTATCAGTATTTTTTCTATATGTAAAATAATTATTTTTTTAAAGGGAATAACATAATTTTAATAAAAAATCACTAAATGGTTAAGATACGGGACAAAACTATAGTAAAAAATTGGGTGCTACTCACATGACTAGATAACACAAACACATCTCTTACCGAATACTAGAGAGAACTCCTACAACTAGTGGCACTATAACAGGGTTCAGCCACTTCGAAACAACTCCAGATGAACCACGTCTCAATCCCAAAATAGGCTACATAACTCAAACTTAAAGCGGTGGGGGGACCATCCTCTAGCCAATACCTAACACCGGTAGATGGGGACACCATCACCGTTATTACAACATAAATAAAAACATAAAATAAAAAAACAAAAAAAGCTCTACAAATATCCCAATAAATTAAACTTGCAAAATCGAGCCCCTTAACGCTGGAGGTATGTGAAACACGGTAAGAGTGGCATTGGATTAAAGCTCCTGAAACGACGATAAAAGCACCGGAGATAGTCCCACACACTGCCGCCAACGAGCAGCGATTGCCACACGCTCTGAACCACCTTTCTCGCCTCCCTTCCACGATCTAGTTCCCGGAGTTCTAATGGAATCATGTGGTGAACACGTCCTATATCTAATGTAGAAAATCAAAAACTGTTTCTCCCTGAACAACTCTATTTCGGTGACTATCTATACTTTCATCGACACAAACTTGACGCCGGTGACCTTTGTGATCTTTTTGACAAATTTTAAAGGTCAGCAGTCCGATGAATAGTCAAACCACTGACCCTAAAAACATATTCCTTAAAGCTTATTGCATAACACTCTCTAAAACTCGCGTCTAGGGTTTTTTATATGTAAAAGAATTAATTGAAAAGAAAAAAAAAATTGGTAACAACTTTTGAAGAGAATTTCCAAAAAAAAAAAAAAATGCCTTTTGACGAATCTTTATAGAGGAAAAATGCTTTTTCAAGGGAAGTAGATTTGACATATAACTATTATAAGATAAAATACCATAAATCATAAATATGTATATTGTTTGGAAAAAAATATATATATTTATACGTGTTATTAAATATTTAATAACAACATATAACTTTTTCTGGAGCTGAATAGAGTTTTTTACATAGCAAAAGAATATGTTAAATAAGCTTGCGTTGTTTTAACGTTTTGGGTGGATTTATTTAGTTCCATATATATTTTGAGGAAAAAAATTCAAAAAGCAAAGCTAAAGGTAAATTGTTTTAGGGGTTATGGAAGACAATCATCCTTTTCAAACTTGGCTAGTAAGCAATTCTTGTTGATTCTTTTATTTAGCACTTGGAAAACATAAAGCAGATGCTATGTGGATTTTATTTTTTATTTTTGATATGAATGGACCCCAGTTCTTTTGGTTCCCATCCCTCTAACGGGGAATATAAGACACGTCTATATAGACAAATGTTTTTTAATATAAAAATGTAATTTAATTTTTTTATTATAATATTTTATCTCACATAAAATTACAGAATTTACTTATAATAATGCATGAATTTAGACTTTTATTCCTTACTCTTGATAAATATTATTTTATTAGTGTAATTATTTGACTAAAAATGTTATAAATCAAGAATAAAAGATAAAAATATTAACATATGTACTTTCAAAGGGTATTTGTCAAGATTATCCTTTACTTTTTAACTCAAGATCTTAACTAAACTAAGCGAAATTAAGGCCTCGTTCATTTCACCAATTTGAGTTTTTAATTCCAGTTTTGCTACAGTTAAGAGTTTTTACAAAAAGTCACATCTAACTTTTCTATTACAGTGAAAAACTCTCATATAAAATTACATCTTAACTCGAATTGAAAACTTGAATCTGCAAACTGAACGAGATATAAGAAAACCTAAAATTCCAATATTTGTAAAAAATTACACGTCAAATATAGAATTGACACTTACTCTTTTTCTTATGAGGATGTGTTAGATAACAAAAGTAGACAAAGGACACATATTTAAGCATTTCCTAAATTAACACAGACTATACTAAAATAGGAAGAAGTCCAAAACAAAATTTAGATTAATGCGTATCTTGAGAAGTTTGTGTCCTAATCCAAAACAAACTTTAGATTAATGCTTATCTTGAGAAGTTTGTAAGGCATGGAATATTTGGAAACATTATATAGCTTCTTAAAATTATGATTCCCTTGTTAATAGGCCTTGCAAATGAGTTAAAGAATTTTCTTAAGCACCTGGAATTTATAGTGTTAGTAGTTGAAGAAAAGAATTAGAGTATGTCGGGTAGGAGGGGGAGAGTGGTGTGAAGAGAGAGGATTAATCTCTTGTTTGTTAAGAGGATAAGCGGATAGAGATAGAGAGACTCTTCCTCCATACTCATTATTTTGGATTATTCTATATTTTTACTAATCTACCTAAAATTAAAAAAATGATTTTTTATAAGTAATTATTAACAAAACGTAAAATTGACAATATAATAATTAAATAAAAAATTATCATCTATCATTTTAACTCATTATTTTTACCAAATAACGTAATTATATTTATCTATCTTTCACATTCTCCATCTATCCGACCCAAGTTTTTTTCGAGGGGGTTTTGAAAAATCTTACTTTCATATATTCTAATATAAGGAAAACAAAGAAAAAAATGAATCAATTGATATATGTTGAACTATTTATTTTTTTAGTGAATTGTATATTTCAACAAAAATATCTATCTAATCTATTATCTATTAGCAATATCTAAGACATAATCGTGATTCATAATTATTCTTAATTTATGTATATTTTGTATGGAAAAAAACATTATAATAAATCACGAATCATGATTCGAACCATGATACGAATTCTTCAAGAATTATTCTTAATTTATGTATATTTTTTATGGAAAAAAATATTATAATAAATCACGAATCATGATTCGAACCATGATACGAATTCTTCAACCAAACACACTCTCGTTAAGGGAGTTTCATTCACTTTTTCTTTGTGCGTGTTAGATAACACTTTTGCTTTCACTTTTTTAAAATTTTCTAAAACGACATTGATTGATTGCTCAAGGAATCGTTTGCCTTATATACAAAAAAAAAAAAAAAAAAAAAAAAAAAAAAAAAAAAAAAAATAACACTTTTTTTTTTCCCCTTTTTTTAATGGCCCCAAAAAACTTAATATTTTATTTGATAATTAGAATTGAAAAGAAATAGTTTTTCTTATTAAGAGAACGTGCATTGTCCAACAATCTTAAATTCATGTATATGTATAATACGTTAAGGAAAGGCATATATACGGCTCATTTTTAAAATATTAAATTGTATTATTTCATAGTAAATCAATAATTTATGTTGGAATTAGAGGTCGGGGTCAGGCTAACATAGGATTATGTCGGGGCCTATAATTATTGAAAAATTTAGGAAACACAAGGCAAATTTTTTATTTTTAAAAAATTACATTTTGATCTCTAAATTTTTGTAAAATTACATTTTGACCCAAAATTTTCTATAAAATTACACTTTGATCCCAAAATTTTTATATAATTTCATTTTGACCACGAAACTTTTAAAAAATATATTTTGACCCTAAAGTTTTTCAAATTTTACATTTTGACCCTAAAATTATTAGAATTTTGCATTTTAACCCTTTATATAATACGTTTAGTACCAAACACCGTATTGT